TGCACTGGAGAATTTTTCAGAAAAACGAAAAGTTCTAGGTTTCCTTACACAGAGCTATCTATGGCTTCAACGAAAAATTTTAATGTAATGCTGAAGACATAAAGATTACTTTGCTTAGTGGTTCGTTGTTGGTGCATGATGAGCTTGGGCCAGGACATGTTTACACCTGGTATTGGACGACGCTAAATACAGGTGTAAACGGGGTCTAAAACGTTTTGAGCTTGTCCACTTTCGACCACTTCTAGAGGTAGTCAAAAACACATTTGACCGGATTGCTTTCGTAGTGTAAACGCTCATGTGGTCGAATGTGTTTGAACAGCCACAAAAGACGACTACTGACTTAAAGTGTGAACATTATAAGAAGTGCGCTAGCTAGACGGGATTTAAACTTTGTCAGCTGAAGACCCAAGTTTGGTGTGAAGACCAAAAATGTACCAAGCATGATGTTCTCTCACCGTTCCTGATTTCTAACCAAGCGGCAACATTCTAATCTGAAAAATGAAGCCTACCCGGAAGTGCGAAAAACTGCAATACATCGAAAATCCGCTAGAGGGAGGTCCCAAAAGGGAGCAAATCTCCATAGACCGCATGTTTTCACAGCATAAATTCATGTTTTTACAGGTTGGTCCCATGGACTTTTATTGTATTTTTGGATAGGTCCCGAGTGCCTGACAACTGTGAGGGGGGTGAATTTTTTTCTAACTCGGTAGTTTAGATCGTTTTTAGATATAAAATGTATGACAAATAAGCGCGTGATTGACAGCTGATAACGGGCTGCGTCGAGTGGAATTCCTGAAATTTGACGTCTCGGCCATGATCTGACACAACACATCATACCACCTCTGTATCCTTTCTGAACATTTGTATTTGAAATATCGTAAGATTTTCCAAGATGGCACCACCCATACCCCCCATAAACAGCCTCAAAACCGTTCTTCAGAAAGTCTATGGGTGACGTCACAGACGCTTTGTCCATATTTTTTAGTCTATGTTTCTAACACACACTCACAGTGTTTGGCGTAGTGTAGCGGCTATCAGAGCTCAAACGAAAGCTGATGCTTATATGTAAATTGCGTGAGCTTATTTAATCCATTAGATCGAAAGCTCTGTAAAAGCCCATATGTTTACCCGCCTATAGACCCTCCCCTTGAAGAAATCAGGACAGAAGTGGTTGAAAGTGGACAAATTAAAACACTTGGTTTAAACAGGAATGTCTCCCTCGTCTACTTGTGACTCGATCGACCAAAATAATACCAGGTGTAAACAGGGCCTTAGCTTAAGATCTACTTTTGTGTTCCCCCGGAAGAAGGAAACTCACACCAACACGAGAGTGACAGAATTTTCATGTCGGGTGAAGTATTTCTTAAAACAAGCCCAGCACACGTGAGGAATCCCCTGCTTCCGCTCTCATCCAGGCTGGCACAGAACACATCTCCTCCAGCCAGCCAGTCATTCGGCCGTCCCTGCGGCCCGTCACAGAACAGGAGAGCGAGTGAGTGGGACTTGAAAGAGGAGAGCAAGAGAGAGGTCGCTCTCAGCCTGCCTGAGCTGAGTGAAATAAAACCCTCCCAGGACTCCTTCCCTCTCTCTCTGAATCCACACATGCAGGTTTACCCAGCGTATCGCTCTTGCAGTGATGGCCACTCTCGACTCCCACACAGCAGGCTGTGTTATTATGACTGTGAAGTGCTCACTGAGTTTGACAGTGGACTTCACATCTCCTTCAACATGCGATGGTGCGAGATCCACTCCTACACATTCTATAGTTTGACAGAGCGCCGAACACTTCTTTTCCCTGTTTACACCCTTCTTTCTCTCTTCTGTTTTTGATTGCATTTCTTTCTGTTTAGAAGTCGGTTCTTTGAGGGTTATGCTTTGTATAATTGTGCAGCTTGTTTGCATGTTTTCTCATTTGTCTCTGGTTGTTGTTTATTCTGTTCTGTTCTTTGTTCTTGTGTTTGTAAATCTGTTTTCTCCTTGCCGGTCTGTTCACTCGGTGGCCCAATAACATTCTAGCATATCTATATTTACACTACTGGTCAAAAGTTTGGAATTATTAAATAATAAATAAATGATAAATAATGTGTTCTCTCTTGAGCTCAGAAATACAGTAAAACTGTAATATAAAATTTCAACAAAAAACATTTTTAAATAAATGTTTTAAAATTATTCCTATGATCCAATGCTGAATTTTCAGCAGTCATTATTGCAGTCTTGTCAGTGTCACATGATTCTTTAGAAATCATTCTATAATGGTAGCTATTGTTGGTACTCATTTATTAATAATAAGATAATTATTACAGTTTTTTCTGCTTAATACTTTAGTGGAAATCATGATTTTTTTTTTATGTTCTTTGATGAATATATTTTTTAAATGCATTTATGTGAAATATAAATCGTTTGTTACATTATAAATGTCTTTTGATTAATTTGATGCATTCGTACTGAATAAAAGTATTAACTTCTTTTTTTTTAAATCACAGTTTCCACAAATAAATATTAATCAGCAAAAGCTGTTTTCAGCATCATAATCAGAAATGTTTATTCAGCATCAAATCATCATATTATACTGATTTCTGAAGGATCATGTGACTGGAGTAATGATGCTGAAAATTCAGCTTTGATCACAGGAATAAATTACACTTTACAACATATTCAAAGAGAAAACAGTTCTTTTAAATTGTAATAATCTTTCTCAATATTACCGTTTTACTGTATTTTTGATCAAATACTAAATGCAGCCTTGGTGAGCATTGCTCTTGTTGGCAAGAGACATAAAAAAATCGTGAAATAAAAAATTCTTCAAAACTTTTGACCGGTAGTGTATAAACCACATAATTAGCTGACTGGTGACTATATTCAGGATTTTATTCCATTCTCATACTGTTTATTTTACATAGCTTGTTGTATATTTTCAATCTGTCGGCTTCTGTGAATCCCTGTAAAATCTGCTCAGGCAAGTCGGAACAGAATATTCTTAGACAACTTCAAGGTTGTAATTCCATAATCTTCCCTAAAAATATCGCCTGCTGCTGAGATTTTTCTTGGTTTCCCTTTAAATAGCTATTAAACAAATATCCCCCTCCATAAGCCTATCCTATTCCGACAGGCACATTCTCATCTACTCTGGGCTGCGTACGGCTGCTGGCGTTATGCCTGTTCACAACCTGCAGATGCAGATCTCAAAAACATTGATGCATAACTTGCCATATCTAGGGACCAACTATGATGGGCAGTTACTAATGGCCTAGCAACCACCCCAAAAGCACATAGCAACACCGCAGCAGCAAGGTTTGCATGGGCACGCATCACTCACATCAGAATCAAGCCGGATCTCCATAGAGATGCTTCTCTATTGTCATTGTAACACAGCAACAACATTGTGTTATGACTGAGCCCGATGTGGAATTGACAGCTGAATAGTGTTTGAGTGGCGTCCCTCATCATTTCCTGTTTCTGCAGTTAATAAATAACACGTCTGCGCATTAACATCTCTAAACAGTCTATGAATATACTTCAGGAGCTTGATGGATGTGAATGACATTTACATGCTTGTATATTGCCAAAGACTGTTTCAGCAAAAGGTAATCTAACTGTCAGTCAAGGGCATTGTTGATCTAAACCCAATTGACAGAGGATTCTAGTTGCTATTCTTCATATATTCAAAGAATGGTTGCAGAATATCTTAAATGTTTAATAAGCAAGTATATTATAATCTTCCTTCATATTCTATTAAAAGATGCACTCCCTTATTTGTTCAGCTGTTGCTAAAAGGACCCTCCAACCAAAATAAGCATGTAATAACCAAACCTCCAACATAAGAGCCGCTAATGGAGCTTCTCTTTCTCACACGTCTACATCATACTCTTCATGAACCCATCATGTGATCTCACCCTTCATTAATCTGGCGAGTTCTAGTGTCCTTTTAGAATCCTATCTATTAGTGCGGGTTGTTTTTCTCTATTCACTCATCTGATCATGTGTAAAGCAGGGGAAGAATGTATTGTTCAGGTTTCTAAGGGTGTGTTCACACTTGGCATGTTTGGTTCCAATAAAACGAGCCCTGGTGCGATTGCTCTGTTAGTGCGGTTCATTTGAATAAGTGTGAACGCTGCCGTCCTCCAAACCCGCTGAAAAGATCTTGGTCCACTTCCAAATGAACTCTGGTGACCAATGACATGCAGACGAAGCAAAAACAGGAACATAAGACCCTAAAACGGACAGAATACTCACGCATTCCGGTTTTTTCCCATCATGTTGCCCATCACAGGCGTCAGAACCGGGTCTCCTCACAGCAGAGCGTCGTTGTGTGTGTGTGTGTGTGTGACGGAGGGATTCCTGACACTGTTTTAACTCCTTTACACATTTTAAGCGCTTAACGAGTTCTCAGCTCAATACTCGAATTTAGCATTTATTCGTGTGAACAGGGATCGTTTGGACAGCAAAAAAAATAAAATAAAAAATACAATCAAAAAATCTTTTGATTTCAATAGATGACTTAATCCAACTAGTAAAGTAAAAACAGCAAGCAAAGTGTGCCAGATGGCACCTCTTCAAATCGTTGCAGACCTGTAATCTTCTTCACAGGACTAGCCTACTTTTAAGTAGCTAAAATATAGGAGCATTTTCACTTATTTAACATTTTTTTGGTCACAGTCATTCCCATATTTCCATTTGTTATTTCTTAGTTTTGATGACTATGTAATATTATTGTAAAATGTAAACGTGTAGTGTCAGATTATGAAAACGGGTTGCATATGCTGTTCCATGTTCTGCATACTAATGGATTGCTCCAGATAAACGCAGAGGAGTGTTTAGGGAGTGATCCTGGAAGATCAGCAGCTTTACGGTCTCACCGAATGCTGACCTTCAGAAACACTCCATGTTAGCAGAAACTGATTTTGCTGAATGAGATAAGTGTCATGGTTTTTCCTATCAACAAAGGCAAATTAAAACGTTTCATATTCTTTTATCTCTTTCTCTCTCTCTCTCTCTCTCAGTGCACTTGGAGGGTCTTCGGCATTACATATCCCAGCATTCCCCAGTGGAGGCTGCCTCATTGACTACGTGCCTCAAGTGTGCCAATTACTCACAAACAAGGTAAAGAACGATCCTTACTTTCCGTTTGTGTGTTCCTTCATTTAATTACTGAGATCGCAGAATCAATCAGGTTACACTCTCAGTGACGTGTGTACACAATAATGTGCTGCTAAGTTCACAAACACGTTCTAAGCAAATGAGTGTGTTTGCATGAATTGCATGCATGTGTACAATACATCTCTGGTCAGTTTTGACAAGGCTATATGACAAGTGGAAATAGAAATGTGACTGTCACTGGCCTGAGGAGTCACTGACATTGCTCTCCCCTGACATCTCTCCTTCAGTTCAGCCCCGCTCCTCATATCCACACAGACAGCATGAATAATCAACCCTTCCAATCTTACACTTCATGCCCCTCCAGTGGCCACCCGCTCCTCAGGACACACTCGCCTGAACTTAGGTCACGCGTTAGTCTAGTCCAAAAATGACACAAGTGACAACAGAGAAATTTTCTTGCCCCCAGTTTACGTTAATATTAAACAAATCCGATTTGTGGTTCATGTGTTTTTCAGATGCCTATTATCTATTTTAGTGCTCAAAGTCTAGCATATCGACTCAAATGTTGTGTTGTAAATAGCTCGAAGGATCGTTTTAAAACACAAAATAAGATATTTATTATGAAACCTGAGAGGTTTATGTCCCTCCATTAAAAAGACCGGGTAACCAAACTTTACAAGATTCGAGAAAGTCATAAAGTCGTCTAATCCACATTAATCAAACAGTTTAATCCAAAGTTTTGTGAAGAGGTATGATCGCTTTATATGATCAGCAGATTTACATATAAACATACATATAGAACACATCACGTATGGTAAAAACCAGCTCAAACTTGTGTGCACGAAGCACGAGAACCCATGAACCAACAAGCTTGTGTGTTTACCTTCATTTAATCTGTTCATCGAGTGATTCATTCATGTATTCATTTTAATGACCTTTTTGAATCTTCACATTTTTGGTTGCCTGGGAGTTTAATGGAGGGACAGTAATCTCTCAGGTTTCATTAAAAAATATCTTAATTTGTGTTTTCAATTTTAACCAAAGTCTTATGGGTTTGATAGGAAATGAAGATGAGTAAATTATGACAGAATTTTCATTTTTGAGTGAACGATCACTTTAAAATTCCTCTATTATGCTTTCTCGAATATTACCTTTCATGCAGTGTGTAATATAGCTGTTTGTGAATCTAAAATTTTTAAGATCAAAGTCCACGACAAATAACGTTATTGTCCCCTAAAAGAAAGAATTGATTCTGAACTGCCGAAACGAGTCGTCAGCAATTCCAGTCTCACGTCATTTTGTCGCCATGTTGAGAAGACGCTGTTTTCTGCGCTGTGAATCCACTTTGCATGGGCTTCAAAAGGCTCATTCACACTGGAATCTATATGGAAATCGGACGCCATCGTTCATGTTTGTATCACTGTATTAATCTCTGAGGAAGCCTCTGGAGCCGAAATTCAGATATGGTAATAGGCGCTTTGTTTCCGAAATGCGCTGTAAGTGTTAAACCAATTACAACAGGCTTGCCCGTCTGACCAATCAGAGCAGGTCTAAAGAAAGCAGGAGTTTAGAGAGACTGAGGGCCCTATCTTGCACCCAGCGCAATTGACTTTGTACACTGACACATGTATCATTCCTATTTTGCACCCACGCAAAGCGCGATTTTCCCTCCACAGAAGCACGTCGCTAAACTAGGAAATGAACTTGCGCTCCCTGGGCGGGTCGGCGCAAAAAAAGGAGGCGTGTTCCGGCGCAAACAATCCCTGGTGCTATTTTGCTGTTCCATAAAACAATTGCGCCACTGACCAGAAAAAACCTAGTCTAAAGTCAGTGGCGCGTTGCGCGTTGTTCATTATGCTATTTTAAGGGCGCATGCTTGACCATAATCAATGTAGCGTGTGCACAATGCGTATACACTTTGATTCTCTCATCTAAGCAGCAGTTTTCATTTTTGCAAATCATACATTATTACGATAGATAGATAGATAGATAGATAGATAGATAGATAGATAGATAGATAGATAGATAGATAGATAGATAGATAGATAGATAGATAGATAGATAGATAGATAGATAGATAGATAGATAGATAGATAGACAGACAATTTTTTATAAAAGCATACATGTAGCTTACACATTTACCCAAATTATCATACGCCTGTTTAACAGAAGTTAATTTGGGTGGGTTTCTCCATCCCCAATGTCACTTCTCTGTGTTTTACGGCCCTGACGAGAACGTTGCTCTCCTCGGCTGTGAACCGCTCCTGTTGCGCGCCTGGCAAATCCGCCGTTATAATAGCAATCCGCCATGCAACATGCGCACCTGCTCTTAAAGGGAATGTGAGATGACGCTCTGATTGGTTTTTCACGTTACGCCCAAACCACACCTATGAATAATGAAGCTACTTCAGACCAACCCCTTTTAGATTTGCGCCTGGCGCAAGAGGCATTTATCCCGCCGGGAAAATAGCAACAGCGCCGGGATCCGCCCACAAAGTTACTTGCGCTTTGCGCTTGACACTTGCGCGTTTCAGATCGTTAAAATAGGGCCCTGAGTCTTTAAACGACCCGTTTTCAGATTCTTTGAGAAATGGGGTGATGTTCAATGTACATGAAAAAAAAAAATGTTTACCTTGGATGCATGTAAACTCTATGTAGGAAATAAAAATCTCCAAAATAAAATTAGGAACCTTGCATAATATGGAAACTTTCAGTTTTAGATCCTCTGCCTAAGATTGAAATGCTCCCCTCACCCACATTGGTAGAATGATGTGTAGTTTGAGATCAACCAAGACTGATGATGCCATCATAATAATATTTGCATACTGGTTTCTAACCCTGGTCCTGGAGTTTTGGATGTGTCTCTTATCTGACACACACATCTGTATACAGTGTGGAGTCTTTACTAATGATTTGAACCAGCTGTGTTTGATTAGGAAGACATCTAAAATGCGCAGTGCCTCGGGTACATCAGGACCAGGATTGGGAATCACTGGCATACCTGATTATGGTATCTTTTCATATTTATTTGACCATTTATAGCCACACAGCAGCGTTATGTGTACTTCTGGCAATTGAATTTATGCTTCAAAATTCTTAAAGAATCATAAACGTTTGATGCTCAATGGAAAAATCCAATTGGGTTTTTGTCGAGGGAACCAGGGTGATGCTGGCTTCCGGGTTAGCCTACAAACTGATGTTATTATTGCAGTTTGTATAAAGACAGACCAAAATTTAAATCTGGTAATGTTCAACTCTGCTGCTGCTCTCAGTTCAGATATTGCTCAGGTTTCATGACCTGCATTATGTTTGTGAAAGTCATGCTATTTTAACAGATAACATCTTTGTCAGTAAAACAGTAATGCGTGGTATTTTCTATTTGGGATTGAGCACATGCACAGACACCGGAAGCTGGACTTTGAACTGTTGTAATCGAACAGGTTTTAGCAGTGATCTCACCTGTCAGCATCTCCCACGCTCCCCGTGTGGGTGTAGAGTTCACTGATCCAAAGTTCCTGACACTCCTCCTCTCAACAATCCAGGCTTAGAGAAACAAAAAGAGCAAGTGTGCGTGACTTTTTCATTGATCAGCATAATGTTTCTCTCAGATGTGGGTCTTCTCTGAGCACACGCTGAGTCATTAAACAGAGCAGCATTGATTCTTACATCACACATCGTACACACCAACACCTGAGCTGCTCTCCTCCTGATCTCACCTGTGGAAAACAATCCACTCACTTCACATTGAGCAACTACTCTATATCTAATCTGATCTAATAGATCAGCGCTGTAAGACAAAGAACTAGTTCAATTTGAGAGAAATTGATTCACCTTGTTGCAGTCGTGACCAGATACACAGGTGTTGCTTCTTACACAGAAGATGCCAATTTCGATTTTCAAGCTCGCGTTGTTTCACTTACCATCTCTCTCCATATCATTTTTGTGTACTATTTTGATAAACATGTTACAATAATAATTTACTGATTAAGTTAAATTGAGTGAAATTAGTGAAATTATGTAGCTTTTACAGAAAAAAAAACTAAAAACTTTGAATAAAAAAGGAATAGACATAAATAAAGGAAAATAAATTCATAAATAATGATACAACAATGACAAGTCTTGGTACTTGTGTAGGAAATACAGGTTTGACCCACAAATGAAAATTCTGTCATAATTTACTCACCCTCAAGTTATCCTAAATCTGTATGAATTTCTTTCGTCTGATGAACACAAAATAATATATTTTGAAAATTGTTGGTAACCAAACAGTAGCAATTGACTTCCATGGTAGAAAAGAACTATCCCTTTAAACCCATTTTCATCTCTCTTTCCACAAATAATTCCATATGTCGCGTGCGATTCTGTCAATAAAATGTCAAAAATCCCTAAAAATGAGTACAGCAGATTCCAAGAGGGTCACCATTTGGCTAGTGCCTTTACTAGAAACTTGAGTATTACGTTTAACTCTAAGAGTCTAGCCTAATGTAAGCGATTCAAAGACATACAAACACATACGCATACTGAAGGAAATATCTGCACATCTTATAACATATTTCCCTCGATAGAAAATGTATCAGTTTCATTCTTACTAATAAAGTAGAGCCCTAGATTTGCGCTCCATATATCATCTGATTAACCATACATCAAGTGATTATGAAACACAGTGTTTTATTGTTGTTGAAATTGAACATTGATTCCTGTCATGATCCCTGGCCTAATGCATCACTTTTCCTTCAGACAATGTCAATTTGCATCCGCATTTCTATCAATGCACTTTGATTTAATTCTCTTTTGTGTTGATGTTTCTCTTAACTCAGGTTCAGTATGTCATACAAGGATATCACAAGAGGAGAGAATACATTGCTGCCTTTCTCAGTCACTTTGGAATGTGAGTCCGTTTTTACCGTTAAAGACTGCTTGATTTATCTCTGTGACATTTGGAGAAAACCACATTCATTTGGCAGACATTTAACGACCTACAAATGAGAAAAACACAAGCAATGTATCATAAAATGAGCCTAATACGTTAGAAGTGTTATCTCTTATTTCAGTATTAAACCGGAAATTGCACACATTGAAATTCTTTCAGGTTTTTGATGTAAACTTCTAGCCCTGTTGAACGCTAAAAGTGATCATTTTGGTGCACAGAACCCTCCGAATCGAGACAATGAATGAATGAATAAATTGCGAGTCCAGGCATGTACTGGTAACCAGTAGAGCTGCTCACCACGCCCCTGTGATCATGAGAAATTAGTTACCAACTCTAATTCCTTTTTTTTTTCTTAATTACTGAGGATAATTCTGCTTCTAATCTCATAAACAAGTACAGACAGTCACTTTATAATGGGCTGTAATACATAAGGCACCAAGATGTCTCCGGTATATTAACACACCTTAATACATTGTCAGACAAGGCAGTCTGGCAAGAGCCACAACCTTACACGTTGATTTATTAATGTGGTATTAATGTAGGCTATTATGGGAAACTTGCTTTTTGGGATTTAGTAGGGCAACTCGATATTCATATATCTTGCATTACCATGAATACATGTTTTTTCAGTGCTGTTCTCTTTAGAATTACCATATTGAACATCTTCTGATAATGTCCCCGAAGACACCATGGCCCTAAAAATAATTTGTACATGAATGTCATTGCATGAGATGACAAAATAATTACATTTTTAATGGTGGTTTAAATACTTTTGGGTCCACTCTACTTTGAAATAAATGTTAAGGCTTGATTAAATTGGCTGTAGGAGCATTAATTCATTGGTATTTCCTCTTGGTTGTTTACTGTCACAGATGATCACTTCCGTTTTCTTTATTATGTTTGATAGGGAAGGAAGGGCATGAGTTGTGGGAGCCAACTTTCAGTTGACTATTGCATCTGTTTGAATATTGCATCATATCCTCAAATGCCTTATCAAAATCAAATATAAAGCAAGCTAAGATCGTCAGTCTTCTTTTTGATGGAAATGATGACCATGTTGTGAAGGATTATCCCACTATCTAGCCTGTATTGGATGCTGTATTGGCTATGCCAAGATGACATATTTTACCCAACAATATTATGAAGTATGAATGTTTCTCTATGTTGACTACACAGGGGGGTGGTAGAGTATGATGCTGTTGGGTTTACCAAGCTCACCCTTCTGCTGATGTGGAAAGACTTTTGCTTCCTGGTCCATGGTGAGATAAACAAATATGTTCCCTTCACATGTACACCTTTATGCAATCCAGACTCATTGGAAAGTACATTACTGCAGAGCCTGAAATACGTTGCTCCGGGTACATTTCCCTGCACTTTGTAGGCGACACATCCACAAAAGGCACTATAAGCTACTTTTTTGATTTCATTGTAGATGCGGGTTTATTAAACAGCCCTGTGTCGTGAAAAAACATGTGAAATGTCCAATAAATAGCGTGCTCAGTTTTCTCTGAAGTGTGACTGTGGCAACATTTCTTTAGGTTGCTCTGCTGTATCAGGTGAGCTTCAGAGCAAGCTTACGTCAGAAAAGCCATACAGATTGTCAAAGCACTATGTAAAGGTGTTTTGAGGTCGTAATGTAGTATTACGCAAGGAGAAATGTGACGTGTAGAGTGACGTATTTCCATTGAGCCTGAGTTGCCTTTATATACTGTGATAATAATATGAACTCTTATCGCTGGATCATGGTGGTATCTGTACATATGATGTGTATTTGAGCTGTTCTCTGGTCTTCCTGTAGTGGACCTGCCTTTGTACTTCCCTCGAGATCAACCCACCCTCACGTTTCAGTCGATCTATCACTTCACCAGCAGTGGGCAGCTGTACTCTCAGGTGCAGAAGTCTTACCCCTACAGTCCACGCTGGGACGGTAACGAGATGGCCAAACGAGCCAAGTAAGAACAGTTGAATGATGAATCCTCTCGACAGATCGTTTTCTCTCGTTTGGTTCGCTTCATGTGTAATGGTGACCCGAATGCCGTTGAAGTGTGGCCACTGGAATGTGCGGTATTCACCTTTGGACTTTTCTCCCAGCCGCACCTCATAGCTGGAGAGCACTCTTTGTCCTGAGTGCGATAAGTGTCAGAGATAATACATTTCTTCTGTGTGTGTTCGGCCCGTACCTTATCTCTTTTGCTTAGGCTTTCTAGCTTGGCTTTAATCAAGCCGAGAGTAAACATGTTTTTGCTGTGATTATCAGCACACACTGGACATTTATTTAATCTGTTAGTTGACCTGATTGTTTGTAGTGTGTATTTTCTCTCTTTTTAAACATCATTTATTAGTGTTGTCACAATACTAAAATTTTAGTAGTCAGACTATTGTCTTTTAGCAGCGGCTTCATGTAATAGCAGAATTGAATTCATTAATCATTATTTTCCTGTTTATTACTGCTACATTAACCAATTTGACTTGACTTGATACAACAGCAAAGATCCATTCTAATCTTGTATTTTGATAAAGAACACATTGTTTTGTAGTAATCCGTCAACAGTCAGGAGTTCAGGGTGATTTCACGTTTAAGTTTCTACATGACACTGCTGTTGTCCTGTTTCTTTCTCTTTCTCTTTCTTTTCTGTTTCTCTGACTCTCTCGTTTTCTCTCTCCCCCACAGGGCTTACTTCAAGAGCTTTATCCCTCAGTTCCAGGAGGGGGCTTTTGCCAACGGTAAACTGTAGATGTACAGAGTGATTGAGGAGTTGAACATGATGTACAGAAGACCGGAGTCTGTGGAAGAAAGCCTGCCGACCGGCCCTCTTTAATGCTTCTGCCCTTACAAGCAATGTCATTTGGTACATTTAAATGTACTGTGTGTATTTTTTTATCATTTATATGCTATTTGTGTTTTCTCATGTTCTTCACCAATAAATCAAGTTGCATTGCTACTTTCCTCTTATGATTTATACTTAGTTTTTACTTTTAAGGTGTTTTAGGTTTTAAATTCATCCACAAATTGTTTCATTTTGTTCCCTTTTTTAGGCAAATCCGACATGTAAGATAAGTCTGTAAGTCTGTTTTCAATCGAATTATTCCCCAGAACTGCTAAAAAGCGTCTAAATCATGAGCACTCTTATTTCTAAACTGGTTCATTGTAGTCAACGTCTTTTGTTTTGTCCTTGTAGTTTTCCTCACAGTGATGGAAAAATGTCTTGACGTGTCGTCACTGATCGCTTTTAAGCTTTTAACAGGGTTTCAAACTCAAACCTGAGTGTGTGAGTGTTTGTTGAGGGAGTGTAGTCATGAACGGGGTGTGTGGGAGAGAACCTACAGCTGAGAGAGGGAGCGAGAGAGCGCTTGTTTTCATCATTAAACACAAGGGTCATTGTCAGGGGTCTTTGTTGGCCTGGGGATCTGCCCTCTGCTATATTTATTGTTGGTAATGTAGGAGCTGTCATGTCTAATTGGGAACTACGAGATAAATGTATTTGGGCAATTTAATAGAATCAAGTCTCTTAATAAAAGAATTAATAACAAGATTCTTTCTGTCCGTCCTCGCTTGGCACTGTAACCTTTTCTGGCAACATGACATCATGACTTTGCGTAAACATACACGCCACTTTCAAGTCAAGTGGCGTGTTATCTATACCCATTTTGAGCTATCCGTGTGTGTGTCCACGCCGAAATTAACCGTCATCTTTTGCGTGTATGTGTACGCCGTTAAATGTCAGAGCGAAACGAAGCAAAATGTAGATCTACATCTGTGGAGCGATATTTTTTTCCTAGGATGGTAGGGGAAGACTCATAAATGGTATTAACCCCAGTGACGGGTAGGTTTAGGGACGGGGTTGGGGTAGGTCATATATTTATATATACAGTAATGTAACGTTAAGTCAAGGCGTTGATAAACACGCTGTTGTTAAACCGGCGCTGTCCGACTGTGTGTGGACCCCCGTTTAAGGGTGGTGTTTTGAGAGAGCTGAAGGAAAGGTTGACGGTTATGTTTCTTTTTTCAGCACCCACTCGATCAGCTCTAGTGCTGCATTAACAGTAAAGTGTAGTGCATTATGGATTAGGGGAAAACAAGTGCTTCCTCTAGTGTGTTTCATGCACACGTCAGCAACTTATATCAAAGTATACTTTTTTTTGATTTCAGTAGTTTATATCGAAGAGTTGTAATAGGGATGCAGATGAATAAACAGCTGTAAACGAGGTGTAGAATGAGCCTGTTTTCAAAGACCTTGTTTTCTTTTCGCTCTCCACTTTTAGTGCCGGGGTCTTGCCTGCCAACTTTGCTGCTAATTCCCCAAATCCACTAATCCTGCCTTATTTAAACCATCTTGATGGCAGCAGGCCACAGAAAATAAAAAGCTTGGCAATCTAAATGATGCTCAGATTCATCAATTGCAACGGTATTGTCATTCCAAGCGGGTAAGTTCACCTTTGAAGGAATTGCTACTGACAGTTTCAGTTGTTTGTTTAAGTACAGGCTATTTTAAAATGACTTCAAACCATCTGTTAATCTGAGTGTATACATATTTCTAAACGGGTTTAGAGGAGTCCCAGCCACAATCGTGTTTCATGTTTCAACATTAAAAAAACAGCTCTCCTCCAGGTTTTTCCCCAGTATCCTAATGGTGATTATTTGGGAGATAAAAAGCAAGAAAACAACAAAAATGGTCCCATTTAAGCTGTCTTTAAGAAGCAAATTAGAGACGTTTCTCCAGACTGTAATGTAATTAACTAGGCATTTGAAACCAGAGATAACCGTTGATTAAGAAAACAAGCTTATAGTGTCCTCTATGTGCTAACATCTCTAGGTCTAATCTCCAATAGTGGATGTGACAGCACTCTGACTCTGCCCCATTCTTACCTTTCTCCAGAAACCATCAAAAGAGAGGCGGGACATGTCCAGACATTCGGACCCTCCCAAAACAGCTTTCCTCTGCAATGCAAAGATAGTGTTTTGATGTCCACAATAGGACAGTAAAGATTGAAAATCCCATTTGCCATCTTAGATCACCTCACTCCCTGAAGACGCTATAAGACAGGGCAGCGGCGAACATGAGAGGTAATCGGAGCGAAATAAGGAACATTACGAAGAGCGAGGCTGAGGGAAACGCGGTCAGCCCTTCGCCTGTTTACCACTGCGGACTTCCCCAAGCTGTCAGGCCTGGCCATTTCATACACAATCACCGTTATTTCATGCATTCCTCTGAAAAACAAACGGCAAACACATCATTAAAACAAAGTCACTGAAAACAAACATTTGAGACGGGAAAACGAGAGACAAAGTTTCCCGTGACTCTGGGATACTTTGTGTCCTGATGTCTGCAAATTCAGAGTGACATTAGTGGGAGTTTTCCCCTCTTCGTCGCCGTCTTCCAGCGAGGGAGAGGAGGGGGCGGCAGGGATTGAGGATTGTGGCGGCACTCGTGAACGGCTGGGCTTGTTGACGCGAGCCATGTTTGGGATGATGGAGCTGAGAGGCTTAGCTAATTTGGAAGAGTGGGGGGATTTGAGGCCTTTTGTCGGAGCCTGTTTGATCTGTTGCAGTGGGGAAAAAATGGCCTCCGAGATGTCATGGAAATGAGAGAATTACTGTCTTTTCGCTTTGCTTTGTTAACGTGCTAGATATGTTTTCACCCTCGCTTGATAATAACTCTCCACTCGTTAAGCCCTGATTGTTAATTGCTAATTACTCTCCTCCTAGCCATGCATCAAAAGGCAGGAGAGAGCCATGCTAAGCGGATCAAGCACGCTCTGTTTCTGGCTCCAGCTCGGGCTGCTTCCTGCTGTCGTCTCCCCCTCACATTTTTGGGGCTCGGTTTATTTATTTATTTATTTATTTCCATTTTCTGTGGGTTATGATGGGGGATGACAAGATGAATGCAGATTTTCTCCCATCTCTGGGCTGCAAATTGTAAGTGTTCGATTTAGACCTGTCATGGATTTATAGAAGCAAACCCCTCAGGTGCTTCAGCCCTGGCACAGAGCTATTGGCTTTCCCCAATTTAACATGGAATTAAAGGGACTGACATTCCAATTGGAATAGAGCATTTGTCAGTGACTAAAAGGGGACTTTGCACCGGAGGAATGTTTTAATAGATCCTGTAACTTTTGGTTTTAGTTACACGAACACCTTTTGGATGGGACAAAATGAGCTCCTACTTCAGAGTAAGGTCTAACCCAACTATGAGTGACGTATGCTATGAAACACAGACACCTGCCTTTTTTAAAAAGCTGTCTAAACACACAACTTACATGAACTAACTCCATGAACATGGAAAACAGCGATAAGACATAAATACAGAAAGCTAATGTTGACTTGGTTTTTCTGTCGCCTTTGTCTGCAAGTTGTCATAGGAGATTGTTGGCCAGTTTCACAGACTAAAATGCATGTTTGAGATATTTTAACTGAAAGCAACTTGCTTCCATTGTTTTGTCTCAAGATTCACACCAGTAATGTTTTTTTTGTTTTTTTTTTCTAAGGCACATTTATAAAAGCTACTTAAATGTCCTAATTGAACTAAGGCCTAATCCTGTCTTAATCTAAACCCTGTCTGTGAAACCAGGCCTGTTTCTTAGCCCTTCTTTTTGCTCTTTCAATCTCATAACATACAGTCTACATTCCACCTGTTATCACGAAACCCACGACACAACACAAACACAGCTCCAATCACGTGCCTCCTTCATCCTCCAGTTGGTGGACGTTGTTGAATGCTGCACTTAAATGTCGTCACTGTCGGCCGGCTTACGTCACTTCAGAGTTCCTACTGGCGGTATGAATGCAACCATTAAAACGGCCCTAGGGGAACATTAAGTTCTCTGGGGACCGCCCTGGTGACTAGTTCCCATAACTGAGTCACAACAACCCGGTGCGAAAGCCCCTTAAATGTAGGGTCACACTAACCATTGCTCTGTGGACTATGCAGATTTTGCTCATGTGAATTCACAACGCTGACCAAGAGAAAGCTGCTTGGTTCCAATCTGGTCTCTGTTTTCGTCCGTACATCACTTCTCTAGATTAACAGTAGACAATGTGCCTTTTTTGCCTACAGAATTGTAACTGACCTTTCATTAATGTGACCGCGCTTTAAAGGAACAGTTCACTTCAAAATGAAAATTTGAAGAATGTGGGTAACGAGACAGTTGATGGACCCCATACGCTGATTTCACGCAGCCGCCATTTTGAAATCGAAAGCGAGGCTCCGGTGGGAAGAAAACCGGAAGTGTCGCCTTTAATCATAGGAGAGTCGCGAATGCGATGGCGTATTGTTGTGTTTAATGTAGAAATTAGTTATTCTAAAAATGTACATACATTTCTTTCATACTTTAGACTATATACAGTGAAATTCATTTATAAATAAAAAATTTTTTATAAATATAATTCAGAACGTAAAAAAGGAAGCAGGAACGAACTATATACATATCCTATATTGGATATTAACATCCAATAGTGTAAATCGCGGCATCAGCTTCAGGTTGGTAGTCCGAGGCACTGTTGTCTATCTGTACTTCCGGGGTTCTTCCCACCGGAGCCTCGCTTTCCATTTCAAAATGGCGGCTGCGTGAAATCAGCGTATTGACTTCCATATAGTAGGAAACAAATACTATAGAAGTCAATAGGGTCCATCAACTGTTTGGTTACGGACTCTTTTTGAGATCAATTATCTCATTTTGCTCAGACATCTCAATACTTTCCCCTCTCCGTCTGCGTTCCTGGCGCTCCTCCTCCTCTCCTCTCCTGGCTGGCGGCAGTACCTGGTCAACTGTCAGGCTGGATCGAGTGTTGACCGCTGTCAGGCTGAGAGCTGCGCTCTGATGGCCTGTCAGACGGAGTGATGAACACAAGGTAGAGTCGCACGGACAGGTGCACACCGCAGATCAAAAGGCAGGAATAATTTGTAGGTGTTTTGTGAACCTC